AGAAACACTGAATTAATACCTTGAAACTGGTATTATAGTAAAAATACTAATAAATTGCACCCGGCCACTTTCCAAATGCCTGTTCCCACCAATAATGAATTTAATTTTCAAAAATATACACCCGCGATCAATTTCCTATTATTTTGAAATTTCAAATTGTTTTCTTTGAAAATTCATAGCTAATTTATCGTGCTCTCACAAAAGAGTTTCATTTTTTTCGGTCCTTTTGAATATGTGAATATATTTCCTCTCTCTCTCTCTGAGTTTTCCTCATTAAGTCTACTTCATTATCACGCACTAGGTATGAAGTTTTTAAATTCATTCAATCGTTCAACGTTCCCTTACATTCACTAAAACCTTCTTCCTTACCTATATATTTTTATAATGTTAATCTTTTCCTGTGAATATATTTATAATATCATCCCATAAAGGTTCGAAGATGTCAAGCCAATCTCCCTGGAGAAAAACACTTTAGACTTTACTAAAAAGCAAAAATAGAGTTTACAGAAATAAGTTTGCGTTATGTTAACGTAGATTATACGTAGGACTTTTCATATTAAGAGTTTATAGATTTAAAATTAATGCATTTTTTGAAGAACAATAAAATTTACACCGAAGTCTCCAAGTCTTAACACTAAAGTTTCCTTGGGGATTTTATAATGAAGTTTGCAAACAAGACACTAAAGATTTAACGATTGAATAAATTTAGAAGTTCAATATTTGAAAATAGAAGAACAAGCAAAAGATGTGTAGAAATATTTTACTAGCTTCACAGAGTTAAGAAAACTAATGGCTTAACTAATTAACTAATATGAAACTACAAACTATAATATAACATAGCTTAACTATTCGAAAGACAAATATAGTAAGGACTTCTGGTAATAAGATTTTTATAGTAATGACGATGTACAGGGTTTTTCTTAAAAAAATAATTTTGATTTTGGTTAGAACTGGAAAAAAGTACATCTTTGCTTTTTTGAAAAACAATATGTTGCTTAAGGTATCCGACTACGTTCGGAACCATGATTTTAAAAAAGCGCATAAATGTATAATTTTCATGATATTTAGTGTCAATTAGATTAGAATACATATATAAAATTGTGTTTTAAGGCAGTGCTTCTCAAAGTTTCAATATTCGCGACCATTCAATATTACAATCATAATTTCCATCGCATCCCCCTCAAACAATAACAATATATTGAATTTAATAATACTCTAAAACTAAGATACGGCCTTAACTTTCTAAGTGCCACCGCCGTATACAAACGTCTAGCTCTGTCAAAGCATTAATTTTCCCAGACGTATATGTACGTCTTTCCGAAGTACGATCTTTTCTCTGCACTGCTATCCATAAAATTATTCCGAAGGCTTTGGAATGCAATAAAAAGACCGTGACAATGTTTGCGAAGAATGTACTTATTTCACAATATTTTTGTTTCTTTATTCCTTCCCCCACGAATCGCGTAACTTTTAATCGGCAGTAAAGGGATTAATTATAAATCGTACTAATGATAAAGTTAAGTGTTATTTTTAGTATATAATTTTATATATGATAATCTCATGGGGTCACTGGTAATTATTAAACTTGTTCTTAACTTCGTATTGTTAAATTTATTATATAATACAATGTGTAGCACTGATTAATTTATAAGTATAATATATCAGTGTAAATATATAATTTATGTTAAAATGTAATTTGTTTATTTAATTTCGGTAAATTAATAATTTTTTTAAATCTTTTTTTTTACTTTTCAATATGCTCGCGCCCCCCTCGTAGAGTCGTCACGCCCTCCAAGGGGGGCGCACCCCACAGTTTGAGAAGCGCGTTTTAAGGACATTATGACAAAAATATTTTTATTTGGCCAAAATTCTTGATAACCCTTTTTCCAAATGTCTTTTGTAAAAATGCTTCTATTGTATTAATATTTTGCCTGTATATATCGACCTCTGTACAGAGGCTCAACTAAATTTTTGAAACGCATTACTTGGAAGTCGGTTTATCCATGTTTTACGAAAACAGAAGGGAGAAATTTTAAGAAAATACGCCAATAATTATTTTAATTGGTTGTAACTCTGAAAATAATGTGAATTTTTCAAAAATCATAGTTGAGCCTCTGTAGAGAGGTCTGAGCTATATACGGCAAAATATTAATACAATGGGAAAAAAATTTTACAAAAGGAGAACATTTGAAAAAGTTATTCTAAGTTAATTTTTCCAAAGTATTGTATTTAAATAATTTTTTTTGTCATAATGTCCTTAAAACTATTTTATACATGTATTCTAATCTAAGTGACACTAAATATTATGAAAATTATACATTTATGTGCTTTTTAAAAATCATGGTTCCAAACGTAGTCGGATACCTTAATATTCTTTTACGTGTAAGGTACTTGATATATTTTGATAGATTGATAACATAACTTTAATTCAAGAGTTCAAGTTTTCATTGAACGCATATCATTCACAATACTTTTCACTCTGATTAATTTTTGAGCATTAGATCCTTGTCCACTCCATCAACTACAATGCTTAAATGCTGCAGGTTGATGAGTACCTAAATTGTCTTTACTTTATAATCCATTTTTTGTATTCGGGCAAATATCCAATATACAATTTATATAAGTGATTAGGAAAAAGGCGAAAAATAAAGGTTAATGAAGGAATCTCTATCTTCTTTATTTCATTTTTCTTATTTTATTTGATATGTATTCGATTACAGTATTTTTTTTTAAAAATACGAAACATGATTTTTGATTCTGGAATCCGTTTTGAAAATATATAGAATACATTTTCCATGCCTTTCTATTCTTTTTTTTGTTATTCAAGTTAAAATGACTTTTAATTTTTGGTAGCGAAAATTAATTTTTTTTTTTAAAAATCAGATTGAAATGCCAATATTACGTGATTGACTTTTAATCTTTTCTGTAGCATTTTTTTTAATATTTTACTTTACGGTGTTTGTTGAAAGTATATAAAAAAAGTGTGTGTATTTATGTACTCACGCAAGAAGTTATACTTCTTTGGAGTAACAAGATTAAAATCTTTCTAAAAATCTTGAGCAGGGCAAGTTGGGCCAAGGGCGAAAGGTGGTGACGAGAGAGTTGAACGATACTAACCTTCAAGTCAATTTGACCAGCCAAAATAACCACGATTTAAATAAATTTAAACACCCCCGCAAAAGGACAATAGGACCAATAGCATGGGGGTAACAGACTGTATCTGGATATGAAGTGAGCCGAATGTGATATCTGAGACATCATATTGAATGTCTCGGCGGGAAGAATCGTTCCTGAGAAATTAAGACATCCGCCTGAAGAGCCCCCGGTCATTTTAAAATAATTAAAACATTTAATAGAAGCAGGGATCCCAGCAAATCGAAACTGGACCTGGTTGTGAGCAAACACAAGAAGGAATCCATTAGAACCGGTCCGTCGTCTGTAGTTACAAATCGGGTGGTGCTAGCGCGGGAAAGGAAAACGAAATTAACTCTCCCCGGAGTGGAAAAACTGTGACGTAAAAGGTTATGTACATCCTAACGATACACAGAGTAGTAGGTGATCCCAAAGTTTCATCCTTCTATCTCTGTAATACCGTTACGTCATCAAAAGATCGAACCCCATAGGAAAAACATGGGGATTCTCTAATTTTAGTGATAACGCCATCCCCCTAAGCCCACTATCTACACACGAATTATAACACATGAGAGAGATCAACAAGGAGAACCTATCGTCCGAGTTTCATTAATGAATCTTAATAATCCTCGAAGGTATGCGGGTTTAAAAAATTTAAAATTTCAAAAATAATTTTAAAATGTTAAATATGGGTGAAGAAATGGGGCTATGGTCTGAAAAAGTATATCTAGGATGCTCATAGGAAGAACAATCGAATCAGCTGGTACGGTCGACCAAGATGATAAAAAATTCGAGTTATTTCTGGGGAAGCCCGTAGGGGGCGGAAATTCAACGTAAAGCTCGCGCTAATACGAAAATATGGCGGACCTCTAAAAATCAAGTTCCAAGCTCAATAATTTCTTAGGAGGGGGATTTTTTAGCCCCCCTACGCATCTGAATGAAGCAGATGACTGGATGGGTCTCGACGAGTGAAACACTTGGTTCAAATCTCAAGTCCGAGACTGGAACAGGAGCCAAGATATTGTGAATTTTAAAAAATTCAAAAAGTTGAAGACAATTAAAAACTATGGAAAAATAGCCCTATGAGCATGAACTTATAGTAACTGGAAGAGCAGATAGAGAGGGATCGAATGTGCCAGGTCCTAATGGACTGTGAGGCTCGGGTGCCGAGATATTGGCCGAAAAGCTGTAGAGGAGGGAATGCACAGGGGGGATGCGTCCCAACAGATATGGTTAATAGAAATATTTATTATGATCCAAATATCAGTCCCATAGCAACAAAAAAGTGGCATTGTAAAATATTAGACAACGGTGTGTGCGCGCGCATCGGTGTCATGAAGGTAAAAATTTAAAATCGTAAAAATTTACCCTCAATTCTTTTTCCCTAACGCCCCAAAAGAAGGAAAACTTCACAAATAAATATATGAATACAAAAGGCTCTTATAATTTACATCAATGTAGTAAATGTGTTTATGTTCATCGCATTGTGTCCGTAGTAAATACATCTATAATCATATACTTACAATTGTTATTTAAATAGGTAAACTAATTTTACTCTTATGTTTTATGTACATGAAACACAATTTAAAGATTAATTTACTATTTTTTTTTTAATTTCCTGGGAGTATGTTTGGTTTAATAACAAAAAGTGTTCAAACAAATGCATCAGAGCAGCTCCTCAGAGGTAGAGCATTCGACAGCTAATTGAGAGGTTCCCGGTTCACACCAAGGTGTCCCCTTCTTAAAGAAAGTGGAGAAAAATATTTTTTTGAGAACTTCGAAGGCGGGAATGATCTGTCCCGTTCTGTATATTTCTAGACAAAGCATTTTCGAATCCATTCCTACGGAAAGCAAAGGTTCGCTGCCACGGGGGTATAGCTCAGTGGTAAAGTATTCGACTGCAGATTGAAAGGCCTCCTGTTCAAACCCGGGTGTCCTATTCTTCAGGGAAGTGAAGAGAAATATTTTACTGAGAGTTTCGAAGGCGGCAATGATCTGTAACGTTCTGTATATTTTAGACAAAGCATCTTCGCATCCGTGACGGTGTGCGCGCATCGTAAAAATTTACCCTCATCCTATTTCTCTAACGCCCCAAAAGTAGTATAACTTCAATTATTTATTTATTTTTAATTATTATAAATTATTAAATTAAGTTTTAGATGGCAATATTAGTAATACAATTGTATTGCTATTTATTATTTTGCGAATGACAACACTATAGTTGGTTCGATTGTTATTGTTTAGATTAAAAGAATAAATTTCTAAATTTTTAAATGTGTAATATTTGATGTTTTATGCAATACAATTTGAGCCTCAATGAATTTATTGCCTTAATTAAAAAACACTGAATTATTTAGAAACTCAAGAGAATAATAGAGTTAATGGTTTTAAAAAAGTTGTCTGACTCTTACATAATAATAAATTATTAATTTCGGTAATCGTAAGCTTATCTTCTGAAGAACATTTCACTCCAATTAATCAAATACCTTAATCTGTTAACAATGGCAGCATTTTCACAATTTATTTCAATATATATTTTATAGGCTCAAATACTCAGTCCTTTGAATTATTATTATTGATGCTCGCACTAATTATCTAAATGAAAGTTCTTAACTGTACGGGTCATTAAATATCGCTACACCAGAAATTATTGTTAAAAACGAAAGGACATATATATATTATGCTATAAATAACAAGGGAATAAACACAATTTTCAAGAAATCTAATCATAAATGAAGTATCCAGAATAAATACATCTTGCAGCAAAAACAGCTCTTATACGCATAGGCATCGATTGAAACAGATATTGGTTGGTCTGTACAGACACAGCTGTCCAGCGTATTAGGGTGACAAGCCATTTGCTCGGCAATCATTGACTAATGTTTCTTACGCAGAGGCATCGATTGAAACAGATATTGGATGGTCTGTACAGACACAGCTCTCCAGCAGCATTAGGGTGACAAGCCATTTGCTCGGCAATCATTGTTTCTTAATGGTGAGATGGAGAACGCGCTTGCCCTAGCAGCAGCCGAAGAGTTTCTATATCAAGAAAGTTCCGTACAGTACCGAGAATTTGCTATAGTGCATTATTCTGCTTCGCAGGGCTCCAACAAAGGGTAGAACAACTGGCCTTAACATATCAGAAACATAACAGTCCATGTTCAATGTTCTGTCAATGAGAACAAGGAGTGATTGAGAAATACATCTAATTGCACCTGATAGTCATGCTAACCCATTACCGGGAGTGATGGAGCCGTAGGATTATATTGAACACACGCTGGAGATGTGCATTATTCAAGATACTACCAAATACGAATGTAGCCATCACGAGTAGGTAAAAAGTGCATGAATTCTTCAGAAAAGTCGCGTCACGTCATTGCTGCGTCCAGGTTCATCGTTTATCACATCATTGAAGGCCCTCTTATACGTGAAGTAGCTGTAAATGTAGCTAAAGTCACGGTCACCAAGCTGATAGTGCATGCTGATGTAAACTTTGTTTAAATGTCCATGAAGACACTTGTTGTCTTGTAAACGATTCCATTTCTTGCCAGGTCTCGTTACACAGCAGAACAATCCATTAAGACCATGCGGATAACATGCCTGTCTTCCTGGCTGTCAGTGATAGCAAACAGTTGAGATACAGCACTGTATTCGGTATAAAGATCCCACATCCATAGATTCCATATTCTGAAATCAATCTGGGGATCTTTCCCGATCTTACGATATGGTAAACCGCAATCAAGGTTTGTTACAATTCGACCTTTACCAGAGTCAGAAACATATTGGTAAGCATTTCTACTTTTTGAACGAGGCATCAGAACACTTTTTCAGCAGGCTACAACATTTAGATCCAAATTGTGTATGAGAAGCTTCTGTACAATTTCTTCATTTAAGCACTTTGTAAGTGTAGTTCAGGTAGAATCATTTACATTCATGTATAATGAAAAGCTAATTATTTATATATTATATCATATCATTAATTTTCCGTTCGCAGCGTATCGTCTTCTTGGTTTAAAAATTTTATTGGCCATGTTTATCATTCCTTATTGGTAATTGCAATCATTCAAAAATACCCCAAATAATGTTTCTGTATTGCAAAAGGCAGGATGAGAACAATATAATTAATCAAATTTATTGCTACTAACGTTAATTAATAACACACTATGTAGTATTTCAAATGATCATGTATTTCGAAAGCATATTTGGAACCCAAACTAATAAAAAAAATAATACTCTTTTCTTATTAATTAATATAATATATTTTAATTAAAATCTTATAATTGAAACTTACAGAGATGCATTGAATAATGTTTGACAAAAGCAATTTTGAATGCAGAAGTATTTTTTTTTACTTAATATTTCAAATAAAATAAATAAAATATAATACCTGCAGCCAAATTCAGTATTTTCTTATTTGGGATCTCATTATACTAAAACGTAATATAATATTCCATTTCTATTTAATAATCACGGATTATTTTGATGAAATTAAAATTTATTTGATTATAACAAACTTGAATGGTTTTTGTAATTCAGAATTTTTTAAATCCTCGTCGAAGCTCTTAAGACTTTTTAAGAGTATTTAATTAATTCTTCAGTGGCTAGGACTTAATTTAAGTTCTGAAAACCTAATTAACACGTTAAAATAATTTAATAACTAACTTTTGTAAGCTAACAACTCTTTTGACTATTTAATTAGTTACATTTCACCTTCTAATATTTAAGAAAGCTGAAACAAATGTTTGCTTAAATCGAATTAATAACATTCGTTAATAATTTGCGTATTGTCAAATTTTTTTTTCACTTAAAAACCTCTTAAGTACATATATTTTTTTTTATTTAATTAACACATTTTTCTTTCGAAAAGAAAGATTGCTTTTGACTGAGACTTACTGAAGTATGTTTTCTTTATATGTAGAAAAGCTTTTTGCATTCATATATTCCCCTCTGTAGCTCTATAAGCCAGTTAAACTTTCACTAAATTTGTCAATTATTTTTGAAGTAAATTTGATTATAAGGGTTGTCAATAAGAAAACTGGACAGGTTGAATAAAAATAATGTCTTTATTGACAATCAAATGAAATCGTCATAAGCGTTGTACGAGTAACACATGTCTATGCCTTTGTTGCAGAAAGATCGTGGTTGATTCATGTAGATGTCTTGCACAAATTCCTTCACTTTATCGTCCAGGTGGAAGCCTAATGCTCTGTTAAGTAACCTGCAGTGGTAGATGTATGTGGGTGACAAATTCGGACTGTATGACAGATATTATAACACTTCCCAACGGAATTATTTTAAGGTTGTTTGGATTTCATGCGAGACGTATAGGATGTCATTGCCACTGAAATCCGATATACTACTTCTTGAAAACATTTACACCAACGTTTCTCAAACTGTGTGGTGTGCCACCAAGAGGGCCGTGATAACTCTACGAGGGGGGCGCGAGCATATTAAAAAGTCGAAAACAAAAGATTGTTTAAAAAAAAAATTAATTTACTCAAAGTAACAAACAAAAGGAATTCTGACATAATAAAAAATAAAAAAACACATTTACACTGATACGATATACTCATAAATGTATCAGTCTATACAATGTATTTTATAATTAATTTAACAATACTGAGTTAAGGTAACCGTCTACCCTTTAAATCTAATTTTTTTCAAAAATTGACAAATCTTGTTTATGATTTTATTTTATAGGCCATCTTATTAGCTTAATAAAAATACCAAGTTTTTTTTTTGTATTCACTAGAACAAAACTACAAGTGTTTTAGTAAAAGCAGATGCCATAACTTTACACAAGATGTCAAACTTTAAAATACCTTTAACTCGGAATGTGTTTTTTTGCGAAAGGTTCAAACGGGGACAGCGATTGCTCAAAAGGTTTTAAAATAATTTGCTGAAGTTTGTTGTGTTTGTTCTGTATAACAGTAGAAATGTTTTGACTTTCAGATCTACCAATCACTGTTTTATTTCAAAATTTTAAGTCCTTTATGTGAATATAATCACTGTGTTTTTAAGCAATTTCATATAATCACTAAGATAAAGTGCTCTAGTTTTTATAAAAGTTAAAATATCTCTTATTATGAAGGTCATTTCAAACATGAATAAAAAAAGTAAATATCAAAATTGAAAATTGAGAATTTGTTCAAAAACATTTTGTACGAGGGCCCGTTTATGAAATTTTTTTTGTACTTTTTAACATTTTTTTTCCCCCAATTTAACAATAAAAAATTTTTCGCTTTCAATTTTAGGATTTTTCCTTAAAATATACTAAATAAACTAAAATCAAAAAAAACCCCCATATTTCCTTTTTTTCAAAAAAGTTGTCGCAAGTAGTCGGATACCTTAAGAATAAGTCTATAATTCGGGGTATTTTTAATATGGTTTGTATTAAAAACTTATCTTGATAATTAGTACGGTTTATAATTAATCCCTTAATTGTGCCAAATAAAAGTAACGCGATTCGCTCCTCAATGCCACCGTTTTCCACGTAGATGCTCATATGTGATGTTTTTTATGGGGGGAAAAAAAAGGGAAAAAAGAAGCAAATTCTCTCAAAAAGTAAACCTTGCAAACACTGTCAAACGAACGTATATATAGGTCCAGAAAATTAATGCTTTGGCTGAGGGAGACGTTTAACACGCCGGTGGTACTTAAGAGGCTAAAGTCGTATTGTAGCTTTAGTGTCAAACTATAGCATTATTAAATTCAATACTTTTTAATTGTATGCAGGGGGGGGGGGCCCAATGAAACTCGATTGAATTTGGGTCCGAATATTAAAAGTTTGAGGGGGCGGGCCTTAAAGCAGTGTTCGGAATCTGCAAAATTTTCGTTGCAGATGTACATTGCCTCTTTCGAAAAGAAAACATACAAAGCTTTGTTGTCTGGAGCACCAGAGGCAAAATTTTACTTGATAAGGGCCCAATGAACATCACTGTTA